AATGAAATATACGTAGGATTGAATAAATTGTAGCGAATTGCTACCTTAGTAAAGCCTGACCGACTCCGAAATCTCTGGAAGATTCTCTTACATCTAGCTAGACTCCCAGAACCAGCTAAGCTATGGCTCAGATATGAAAGGAAACAGACGTGTAGCACGGAGCACGTTTATTCAGTACGGGTAATGCGGATAGCGTGTGTACACGCAGGGAGCTACTCATGATCAGGATAGGGGGATTAGGTTAAACAGAGGGTGATGATTGGTCACTGTTTGTACGGTCGGGGCACACAGTTGTACGGCCGCACCTCCCAATCCTGGCATGCAGGCATACGATGACGTACAAAGCGATAACGTGTCCCACAATACAATAAAGAAAGCGAGTGAGGCAGTATTTGGTCCACTGACGAGCGTCCTGTTGGATGTTCCTCCATATGCAATGATCGGTGTTCAACGTTCTTGTTGAACGGATGTTTGGTTGCGACAATCCATGGTCGAAATCTCCTGGCGTGTGATTGCGTCATACGAAGTGCAGTAATTGTGTTTGTTAGGTGGTTCGTGTGTTTTCCTTCCCTTAAGGTTTTTATCCATAGTATAATCCTTTCAATCGGTTAATTTTCGATCTTAAGGTTTTGGCATGGATTCCAGAGTGTTCTTCCCGACATTGTCTGCTGTCATTGAGGTATTACTTATTATGAAATCTTATGGCGTGTTCAGTATGCGGCAATGGAAGCTGATGAATCAGAAGGCGAAGAATTGGACTATTACATTGACAAGTGCGCATTGACAAATGAGCCCAAAAGTCCTCAATCTGTGCACAATTGTTTAGTTAAATCAGCATCCAACTTTGTTTGGGGTTGTGGGACACGTCATCGCTTAGCCAACATCACGTGCAAACTCGCGTACGGGTCAAGCGCGGCGAACTCACCGACGCCCATTTGTTCTACCGGTTCCCCATGTTGACAATGACTAAGTTCCTTCCTGTACACAGGACTGACGTGCTACGTCTTAAATGAACGTATTCCTCCTCGCTCGTCTCTTTCCTCCATAGCTTTGCAATAGCCTAGTTAGTTTGGGAAGTCCATCGATTGTAGAGATTACTGAGTAAAGTCCAGGCTTATTGGTGTAGCAGTCCGCTACAAATTCGTGACTCTGAAGTGATCTCCAAAGCCTGACTTCAAACACTCAGCAGAGAACCTATCTCTACTTGACACGGCGATTTTTTTTCTCCGCTTTGCTTGATTCACTTGGTGATCCTCATCTTCGTACAATCATCAACGGCAGGACCCTTTTTCTACTTCACAATGTCCAAGCACATCGAAGTCATCGGTAATACGTTTGGTTTGCCCGCGGTGTATCCTATTTTCAACATTAATTATCCAGATACTTGGTTTTTGCAGTTCGAAAATATGCTTCGAATGAAAGGGATAACCAAGCGAACAACCTGGTTTTTCTACGCTGTCGCAGCACTACCGGCCCCGGTCATAAGCCAATTCAGCGATATTGCCGCTCAGCAACCAGACAACAACTTTTTCGAGCGTCTCAAGCAGGCAGTCACCAGTCGCTATACTGTATCGCAAGAAACGCACTTTCACCAACTTTGGCCCCAGATCGAACTTGGAGATCGCACGCCATCTCAACTTCTACAGCATATGCGCTCTCTGGCCAGCGGTTTTGGGTTTGAACGATGAGTTCCTAAAAAACTTTGGAGGAACAACCTTCCGCCCCACGTTGCCTTAGCGGTAGCTTCGCAATCAGACCAGGACGACCTTAGTAAATTAGCTGAAGTGGCCGATCGAGTCCACAGCTGTTACAACAAGTCCATGGTTAACGCCATCGATTCTTCAACGTCCGCCACTTAGGACAGCAAACCGGACACCATCATAGACCAGTTGAAGAATCTAACGTCATTCAAGGCGGACCGTTCCCCCCCCCCCATCGTGATCGCCGACGCTCACGGTCCCCCAAAAGAGCTCGTTGCCCTGCAGAACGTGAGGAACAACTCTACTACTATCACCGCACTTTCGGAGACAGGGATAGGAAATGCCGGTTTTGCTCTTTTCTTGAGATGAATTTTTTATCCTACGTGGTATGTCCCAAACATTTTTTCGGTGTTCCGATTGTATGCATTTTTCTTGTGTTAGATTTTTATTGGATTCGCTCTTTTGTTTCTCCTTTAGACAAACATTCTATGAATCCGCCCCAACAGAGAGGAGACGAGTCGGTTTCTCGGCGCCGAGATATTTCGACTGAGGTTGTTGAATGCAACCACGAGGCTCATGTGAGGCGTCATTCTGTCTCCCCCTCTTGAAGTAGTTAGTTTAAACAAACTCATTACTTTCTCCTCTTTTTCCCTTTCCTCAAAAAATATCCTACATTACCTCATTCTCGTATGTCCATTCCCCTGTGCTCCTGATCTCATATTTCTCTAAGCTCGAACTGGTCCGCGCCTACCATCAGATCCCGAGGGCCCCAGACGATATCGCAAAGACGCCCGTAATCACACCATTTGGTTTGTTCGAATACCTACATGCTCTCCTATTATCTACAATTAAAAATATGCAATAAAGAAAAAGTATTAAAGATATTTACCAGAATTAGGTGCCCGTGGGGATCTTTTTCTTTTACCAAGGGGATTAAAATGTTTGCACTGTTTATTTGTCGAATCCACATTATTACCAAAAATAAATGTGGAAAAAGATTCAATCAAACAATTTTGCACAGATTGATTGGTTAATCAATGGGCATTTATCAATGTAGTAACCCAATTCTTCAACTTCTGACCCACAATTTATAATCTTTGCATTTTAAATTTAAATAATTATATGTGGATCTCAGCCGAATCAACTCAGCCTCAATATTGCCAGCATAACAATTGGAACACCTCTTAATCCACAACGAATTTAATCTGGCGTCGTTAACACGATCCGAATTAAGAAACAAACAACGATCTAATCCACCCAAACTCTCCACAACCAACTTGATAACACTTGGTCAGGTCATTTCCTACACCACCTCCACACGTATTTGCTGTCATATATATTTAACTTCTTCAGGCTCACATCACCCGACTTTCCCTATATCTGTTCATCTTTTGTCGGTGCTAATCCTTTTCATTCAAGCCGAAACTTCTCTCTTCTGACAACTACGACAAATGATACTCCACCCGATGAACTGCAAGAATAAGCACCCATTTAACACATCTATTCATACTCATCTCCGCCTTTCACCTAGTTTAGGCGATATCGGAGAAGCAACATACACTTTTACAGCTTCCCACAACGTAACACAAGCCATCTGGGACGATAGACGTCGACCACTACTCAGGTATATCACTAACGGATGAATCTATTCCATTCAAATACAACTGAGGGCACACATGTATGATTTTACAACATCAACCTCAATAGTAATTACTGTTCAAGACTCACCACTATTCGAGAGAATGAAAGCGAACGACCCCTCTCCATTCGTTGGTAATTTCTTAGAAAAAGTTCCAATGGAGCCACGGTTGCTCCATTCTTCTTCCTCTATGAAACCAATGACCACAATGGCACCAATTAACCATAATCAGTTAATAAAAGTAGCTTTAGAATCCGAGTTCTTAGCAAAAAACTCCTCAATTGTTGTGATCAATTCACGTAAAAGATTCTTCCCATCAAAACATTGAATATGCATTTTGAATTTCAAATTCATATCCCAAAAGCTTAATTGTCTGAGATCAGGAGCACAGGGGAATCGACATAAGAGAATGGGGTAATGTATGATATTTTTTGGGAAAAGGAAAAAATAGAAAGTAATGAGTTTGTTTAAACTAACTTTTTCGAGAGGGGGAAACAGAATGACGCCTCACATGAGCCTCGTAGTCGCGTTCAACAACCTCAATCGGAAATCTCGGGGCGGAGAAAGCGACTCCCCTCCTCTCTGTTGGGGTGCATTCATAGAATGTTCGTCTAAAGGAGAAACAAAAAAGCGAAACCAATAAAAATCTAACAAAAAAAATTCATACAATCGGAACACCGAAAAAATGTTTGGGACATACCACGTAGGATAAAAAATTCATCTCAAGAAAAGAACTAAAACGGCGTTACGAAGACCCAACTCGATCTGTATGATCAGGGTCGCATGTATACCAATAAAATTGCCAAAATGAGTACGAAAACTAATGTCTACGTGATCGTTCCCCGATGGGGTACCTCCAACAACATTGGGCAGTGCTGTCAGCCAATTAATGGGATGAATGAATACGCAAAACGTAGCCACAAATGAAAGTATTTGCATGGTACATCTCTTTACATATATTGTCACCATATTAAATGTCACCAACAGAAGTTACTAAAAGACCCAAAAAACAAAACAAAATATTCAGGCTCGGATAGGAACTAGTTTATCAAATTAATCGGCAGTATGAAAATGGCAGCCGCAAGAAAATTCAGAACTTGATTTTGGCTATTTAAGAGTCTCAGAAAAAAAACGAAAGGAGACAATGAACTGTGAAGCAACTACACCTTCCAAAGGGCCTAACCACTTTGCTTAATTTTAAAACAAAACGATGAAAGATAGAGTTATGAAACGATAACAATGGGAAATTGGTCAATTGAGAGAATATTAAAAGTGCAGGGTTCTAATTTGCCGAAAGCGAATACAAACTTACAGTTGCTTTAAAGCCTTTCATAAATAGAAACAAAAATTTATAAATAATAAAAGTAACATGAGAAAAAAATTAGAAACTAATTACTTGAGTTAACTTTCCCTATATCTGTTTGTCTTTTGCCGGTGATAATCCTTTTCATTCAAGCCGAAACTTCTCTCTTCTGACAACTACGACAAATGATACTCCACCCGATGAACTGCAAGAATAAGCACCCATTTAACACATCTATTCATACTCATCTCCGCCTTTCACCTAGTTTAGGCGATATCGGAGAAGCAACATACACTTTTACAGCTTCCCACAACGTAACACAAGCCATCTGGGACGATAGACGTCGACCACCACTCAGGTATATCACTAACGGATGAATCTATTCCATTCAAATACAACTGAGGGCACACATGTATGATTTTATAACATCAACTTCAATAGTTATTACTGTCCAAGACTCACCACTACCCGAAGGGAGCGGAAGCGAACGACGCCTCTTCATTCGTTCGTAATTTCGTTTCAGAAGTTCAAAAGGCGCCACGGTGGCAACTTTGTCCTTCTTCTGGTGAGATATGACCCAAGACAACAGCCGAGGGTCTGGTGAATTAGAATTATCTGGTAAATGAACGCTGGAGCTCAAAGAATGTCTCTCCAAGACTGAACGACTCAATCGGACATTCGAGGCCCGAGGAGGAGTTCACGAATTAGGAACAGCGCGTGATAAGGCTGAAACAAAAGATTTAGTAAGGCTTTCATAACAGATATATTCTGTTCATACATTATAGCTACCTTCTTACCAGGAGCTTGTCAGTGCGCACTTATCAATGTAGTAATCCAATCCTTCACCTTCCGAGTCATCAACTTCCATTTCTCCATACTAAACACGCTATAAGATTTCATAATAAGTAATACCTTCTCAATCACAGCAGGCAAAGTCGG